AGAATTCCCCAGCCAGCAAATGCTGGCTGGGGAATTCTGGGAGTTGAAGTCCAGACATCTTCAAGTTGCCAAGGTTGAGAAACACTGGTCTAGATGTATGTAGTCTCTGGATAGTTGTTTCTTTTTCACTTAAAGCTGTTTGAAATACTTTACATTTTGATTGGTTAAATAATCATGTTTTTGTAAAATTGCCAACTTCTTATTTTCCATATTTGTTTTCAATCTCCTCTGTTTAGAGACCACTGATTTTCCATGCTTTGCTCTGTTTTTAGTCAAAGACAAGCATATACACATAAAATCCATCAAATTCATAATTACAATAGAGAAGATCCAGGAAGCAACAACCTATGAGAGTATTGATTTAAAAATAAATAAATAAACCCAGCCATGTTTGATAATATTTTTTTCAACATTCTCATAACTGCTAGACAAAATTTGGCCACACTCTGGGAATTGCCTCATAATCTGCCAGAAGGAAAGAGAGAAGTTCTTCACAATTTCTATGTAGTATTTTACTTTGAACACGATAGCTAATTCCATAACAGTTTGGGTCCTTTGGTAAGTAATCCTTTCTACTGGCTTTTGGACAATTCTCTTTTGGAAACGGCATCAGAAAAGAGTTTTTATTTATGAAAGCTTTCTTGGAGATGTGGCAAAAATTTACCTTTGTAAAAAAAAAAAATTAACTATTTTCTTTCCCGTTTCTTTTTCTTCATAGTGTCCTTACAAGGTATTAACACCAGGAAAGCCTTCAAGAGTTCCACAACTCAGGACCAAAAGCTCTTTGAGAGAGAATCTGCCCCCCTGCCTGTCCTTGAAACATATAGTACTTGTAATAAACCTCCACCTCTTAACATTCTCTCGTCATACAGGTAACAATATCCAGGAGAAATACCAGGTTCTTGCTTTAAACTCCCTCCTCTGAAGAGTGTGGAATGGCATCAGATGGCTCAAAAGAGAGCTTTCTGATTTAAGTTTAAATTTGGTTTAGATATTTTTGGCTTTTTGAGGAGAAAAAGAGTTGATAGAGAAAGCAGAAAAGCAGGGGTGGTGGTGATTGCCATGATACAAATTTATAAAAGTGGGATTTGGAGAGAAATATTTGTTGATGAGACTAAAAATTTGAAATTTAAAGTTACTTCATTGTGGAAATGTAGTTTTCATTGGTTAAGCTGAAGAAAAATACAATCTTTTGTGCATGATGTAAATAATTTGCATGTTATTTGACTGGTGTCTCTGTTTGCATTTAAAGAACTGCCTTATTTAACTTTGGTTTGCTGGACAAACCCAAAATCAGCCTTGTAAATTAACAAACACAAAATGGCCAGTTTGGCTATTAGTATAGAACAGTCTAACAATACAATGCTTCAGGTATGTTGTTCTGGGTGTGTTATTTAATGCTGCTTTCTTATTTAACTTTTTGCAATCAACAGCACATAGATTTGATGTTAGGATTGCTGGAACAACTCGCAAACTAATTCTCTAGGACAGTGTTTTTCAACCTTTTTTGTGCAAAGGCACACTTTTTTCATGAAAAAAATCACGAGGCACACCACCATTAGAAAATGTTAAAAAAATTTAACTCTGTGCCTATATTGACTATATATAAAGTGTTTTTCCCACGGCACACCTTACACTATGTCACGGCACACTAGTGTGCCACGGCACAGTGGTTGAAAAACACTGCTCTAGGAAATGTAATTGTTGGACCCTCAAACTTGATACTGATAAAATTCTAGGGTAGAATGTGGTGGCGAAGCCAGTTTCTCTGCTTACAGTTCGATTTTGCCATATCATTTTATGTGGCATATTTTGGTTTATGATTATATAATGAAAAGCAGAAAAACAGAAATAATGTCCTGTTGTAAAGTAACATATCACTGAGAATATTATGACTGAAAATGACTTGACAATAAGGAATATAAATACTTCCTTAACCCATATCCATTAATACCTTTTTTGAATAGGAAAAATGCAACTACAGGTAGCTGGAGGTAGCTGTCTTTTTTGAGTTGACTCCCCCCCACACAAACATATTTGGTTTACCTTAAAGGGGGAACTTATTGTTAAGAGATATTTTTCCTTATTATCTCTGTTTCATATTTGGTTGTCATGTACACACACGTAACCATCTCATTCTGTATGGATATATTCTCTCCTAGGGATGATGGCAAAGAGGCACTTAAATTTTACACAAATCCATCGTATTTCTTTGATCTTTGGAAGGAGAAAATGTTGCAGGATACCAAGGATATTATGAAAGAGAGACGGAAACATAGGGTGAGATGTGTGGCACTGTTTTGGTTACGTTTATTTGGTTTTATCCTTAAGCAAAGAGAAGGAAAATGTAGATTTCCATTGCCTGACTGCATGCAATGCTTGGGATAACCAATCATAGAATTGCTTGTGTGTGGTTGGGGTTTGGGTTTTTTCTTTTTCTTTTTGGAAGTGGGAGAGACTTCAGTCAACTTCTTGTATGCATTATATGTGATTCTGCTCTAGTGCCATGTATTCTGTTACAAGAATAATATATGAAGCAGAATAAGGCATCCTTTTGGTGGCCAAGGGCCATACTTATCTTATGGGGATATGCTTATGCAGGCAGCAAGGCAGATGAAGCCACATCTCTTACTGTGAATGGACCTATTTGGGGAAAGGTGTTTTGAGACCTTTCTTTGCTTCTTTTCCTCTTTGATAATCCTGTGATTAAATCCTGGATTTAGAATTTTATTTTTATTTTCCAACTAAGAACAGTATGAAATATGCCATTATTTTCAATAATAATTGTTAGAGGGGAATTCTGCCCATCCTGAATAATTTTTTGTAACAAAATAGTTCCTATTGTTATAATAACTATTGAATGTCCAGTGATAGAATTATTTGTACACTTAAACCTGCAACTGAGCAAAGTTGGGATTTCATAATGTGGATTATGTTACCTGCTACGTATTTCTCGGTAAAGATGTTACAAAAAGACATCTCGTGTTTGGAATATTTTCAATTGGAATGGATCAGTTGGGAAATCATACTTGTAAAAAAAAGCTTTTATCTAGATGGCATTTTCCTATGCCCTTAACTGCATTTTTATTTGAGGATGGGAAATTTGTAGTTTCTAAGAAGTTTTCTCCATCCCCATGATCCCTTTAGTAGCTTCCTTTTAGGCTTTCTTAACCAAACTTTTACCTTACTTAGTGCCAGCCAGCCTTCTGCAATGAATTGTAGAAATTCTGAAGCATTAAATTAAGGTTTGATTTAGCAGTGTTGACATCAGGGATTATTGTGTAGCCGTTGCTTGCTTATAACAAAAACAAAAAAACCAACCCCAACCCAGTTCTTATTTATTTGTGTTTTTACATTTGCGTATCTGCTTTTAGCAGGCAAGATGTGATCCTGTGATTGGATTTTTGAAGAATATCTTACTGGTTTCTTTTGTAAAGATGCACATTATTTTCACTCATCTGTGGACACCTATTTGCAAAACATACACCTCTGATAAAACATTGATGCCTAAGATCTATTAAATACTTGTACTATTGGATAAGGGAGAAGGGCAGCATACGAATAAATAAAACATATAAGTGTAGTTAGATCTAGTGAGAGAACGTGTTCCTGATTATGTACATTTTTACTGATAACCTTTCTTTGCTGATGACGAGCTTAAAGGACTAATGGCGCCTACAATTGCTTCCTATGTATTTGTTTTATAGAAAGAAAAGAAGGATAATCCTAACAGAGGAAATGTCAATCCTCGAAAGATAAAAAGCCGAAAAGAAGAATGGGAAAAAATGAAAATGGGTCAAGAGTTTGTCGATACAAGGGAAAATCATGGACTGGAAGGGTAAGAGATAAATTGTAATAGTAACCATGGAGTTGGTCCTGTGACCACCAAGGCCAAAGGTATCTGTTTCCTGAATAGTAGCCTTCCTAGGAAGGGATGTTAAAGTGTGTGGTTTGTTTGACTGAACATTCTCCAGTTCAAAGTGAATAGCTGAAGTAGATTTTGAAATCCTAGCACATTTCTTTGGGTGTATTTTAAAAAAGATTTTTTTTTAAAAAAACAAAAACCAATATCTGACTTCTTAATCAAACTAGTAATGTAAGTCACCAGGAGTATTGCTTGACTTGAAAGTGACTTTACTTTTATTACATTTAATGCAGAAGTGCAGGGGTTTGAGACCTGTGAAATACTCACCATCCACTTCCATTTAGAGTTCACAGCAACTTTTATTTATTGCATAGCTGTGGTGGCCTAGTGGTTGAAATGCAGGTTTGCAGGCTAATTCTGCCGACTGACTGTAGTTCGATCCTGACCACCTCAAGGTTGACTCAGCCTTCCCTCCTCCTAAGGTTGGTAAAATGAGGACCCAGATTGTTGGGGGCAATAAGATGACTCTGTAAACCACTTAGAGAGGGCTGTAAAGCACTGTGAAGTGATGCATAAATGCTGTTGCTATGAGGAGCAAATTGAGCAAAGTAGACTTGATATGTGCATAGTAATACAAACTTAACTACACAACCTTGATTTGCCTTCAACAAGTGCTGAAATTGTCTACTGCTGATTAGAACCAATATAAGTTGCTATAGTGAAACTCATTTGGAGATTGTTGTTCCTACTAGTAGTTTTAGAACAGAACTGGAACGTGTTCTGCAAATGACCTCTTCCTTACTTAGGATACTATGGGATTTAAAAGAAGAAAAATCTGCCCATCGGCTTGATTTGGGGATAACTTCATCTATCACAAATTGTCTACTTTTACTTGGGCCCAGTCATTTTGCTATAAGAGATACCTTGGATATGATGTATTCTTAACTACATTAGCTGGAAACACTAATATGGAATAGGTTTTTTACCAAAAGAAATAAGCATATGAGATAATTCTTAGGATCTTCTGCTATTTAGGAGGAGGTAGACATGGTCTTCTTTATGGGGTCAATCTCCTTATTAATTGAAACTACAAGTTAAAGAAAACGGTCCATTTCAAAAACAAATTTCACTACATTTGGGGGATTACTGTGGTGAAATTTTCCAGTAGGATAACCTTATAATACGTAAAAACCTGCAGCCAGAGGAATTCCATTTCTCTCTTTCATTATAGCTTAAGAAATCGCATTTTGTCAAGTATGTATAAGTATAAATCTTTATTACGGTCAAAGACCAGCAATACACATTACTTTTTACAATATGTTAAAAAGTACTGGCATTAAAATATAATTAAAAGGTATTGACATTGAAAGTGGATAATAACACACATGTTCTCAAATTGTTCAGATCACTCCCTGGTTTACCTGGGTGCAAAGCCGATAAGTATGGGAGTAAATACAATGGTCCAGAAATTGTTATCGATATGTCCAAATAATTGGTACAAGATGACAACTATACTTCTGTAACCAATTTTTTTCTTGCGGACATTGCAGCAACACAGAATTTTGCCACTACCTACGTGGTAGCCGGGTTTGTGTCCTGGAGGAGAAAGCCTACATAAAAATTGTCTGCCCTCCCTGGCAATCTCTCTAATAAGGGGAGAATATATGCTGACCTACAAACTCTGTATAGCTCACAGTAGCATTTTGTCAAGGTCATACATACATACACATACACCTTCAACTCTTCTTCCTTTATAAAAAGGTGGGGGAAACCACAGGTCTAAAATTGTTTCTAGAGCAGCACATCATTTGTGTTGCAAAAGAGAAGCCTTTGACAATGTTGGAATAAATGAATGCCTGAGCAGAGGTAGGCTAGGAACTTTTTCGTGTGTGCATTGCGAGATCGTTGGAAAAGAGCTGCCCAGTTAACTTTTCCAAAGCCCCCTCTCTGTGTGACCATGTGTGTTTATTTTCCACACATATTTACTCTTGTAATGAACTGGAAATGTCAATTAGGAATCTTGAAAGCCTTTTTAATTGTTTTGGCAAACGGTTGAAATTTGGATAATTCTGCATATCAGTTTTACATCCATCACTTGCAGCCAGGATCAGCTGGCTTGGGAATGCATAGCAAATTGGTGAAACTGTATGAATGTTGAACTGAATCAGAGTGATATAGTATAGCCTTTATTGTCATTGTACAATACAACGAAATTGGTTTTAGCCTCACTGGTGCAATCCATGACAACAAATGCAAACAACATAAAAGTACAAGGGATAATCCCAACGCAAGTAATTTAGGGGAAAAGAAAAAAAAACTAGTCATATGTTTCTGCGTGTGCGTGGAGTGATTGGTTGTGTTTAAAAGTCTTGACAGCCCAAGGATAGAAACTATTTTTAAACCTATTTGTTCGGCTGGCTATGCTTCGATGTCTTCTGCCCAATGGTAGAAGTGCGAAGAGACCCTGACCAGGCTGTGAATCATCTCTGAGTATCTTCCTTACTCTGCTGAAGCAGCGAGACCTGGGGATGTCATCCAATGGCAACCAATGGTTATACCGCTGGCCCTATTTGGATACTGTTCTTCTAATAAGTGTGTATGAGATTGTCATCTGAACTGGTCTCATTTGAAGGCGGCCTAAATGACACTGGGTTCTTTTTTTTTTACACTTGCCACTTTGTGTAAGTGCTTTGTGTGATATACAATACAATACAATAGCAGAGTTGGAAGGGACCTTGGAGGTCTTCTAGTCCAACCCCCTGCCTAGGCAGGAAACCCTATACCGTTTCAGACAAATAGCTATCCAATATCATCTTAAAGACTTCCAGTGTTGGAGCATTCACAACCTCTGGAGGCAACTTCTGTTCCACTGATTAATTGTTCTCACTGTCAGGAAATTTCTCCTCAGTTTTAAGTTGCTTCTCTCCTTGATTAGTTTCCACCCATTGCTGCTTGTCCTGCCCTCAGGGGCCTTGGAGAACAGCTTGACTCCCTCTTCTTTGTGGCAACCCCTGAGATATTGGAACACTGCTATCATGTCTCCCCTAGTCCTTCTTTCCATTAAACTAGACATACCCAGTTCAAGCAACCGTTCTGAACAGATGAAAAATCATTCTTGAATAGGAGAAGATTGATGGTGTGATCCATCATTTTTCTTTTTTAAAGAATAGTATAATTTTTATAAGGAGATGAATTATACTGATTTCAGAGGCCTGGGCCTAAACATATGGGTAAAGTGTCCCTATAATTGAAATTCTAGTTAATACCAAGATGCTGCAGTACAGGTAGCCCTCGACTTACGACCACAATCGAGCCCAAAATGTATGTTGCTAAGTGAGACATTTGTTAAGTGAGTTTGGCCCCGTTTTATGACCTGTCTTGCCACTGTTGTTAAGTGAAATTGCAGCTGCTAAGTTAGCAACATGGTTGTTAGGTGAACCTTGACTTTGCTTGTCAGAAGATGGCAAAAGAGAATCACAAAAGTCAAAAAGACCCCAGGGCACTGCAACCATTGTAAATGTGAACCAATTGCCAAGCATTCGGACCTTGATCACATGGCCAAGGGGATACAACAGTCATCAGTGTGAAAAATGGTCATAAGTCACTTTTTTCAGTGCCGTTTTAGCTTTGAATGGTCACTAAATGAACTGTTGCAAGTTGAGGACTACTTGTACAGATATAAAAGCCTAGCCAAGTTACTACCCTGTATATGTTTTGCACATGCTGTAAGCATTCTACATTTGAAGCTGCTTTTTGAACTCTTGGAGGGAAAGGCCTTTGGCTCACAACTGTACTTTTGCGGTTTTAGGTACCCTCCTAACATGGTGTATCAGAATGGTAGCATTGGCTCCAATGAAAGTGTTGATGCCACATACTATCCACCTCCTCCACAACCAGAATCCGTTTCACCATCACCTCCTCCATTGTCAGACGATAGTCTTCCGCCACCACCAGCAGAATTTAGGTAAGTATGTGTCACTAGAAGATTCATTAACCTTCAAAACAACTCAGACGTTAAAGAGCCTGCCCATTAAGTGAGGTCAATAGCTGTAACTTGTCAGAAGACATTTTGCAAGCAGTCCTTAAACACTATGCTAAATCAAGTGGTTGGCCTTCTATTTTTTCGTTTCCATTGCAACTCTTGTTATGATTGTTTTATGCAGCATTTTTTTCCTTCGTAAAAACATTCAATTATTTATAGAATTGGTGATGGTATATCTTACCATAATTACAAATTAAAGAGGAATGGGGAAATAGTTAATTCCATATTGGGAAGTGCTTTAATTAAATGGGGAAACAAATTCTTACTTGTAAAGATATGAAATAAATATGTGGGGTTAAGAATTTTATTGAAACGAAAGTGGATGTATCTGGATACTCTTGTGCCTTTTGAAATATGGAAACATTTGAAACATGGAGACCATGGAAAATATGAAGAGCATGTCATAATGACTAGCATCAATTACAAAGTAGGCTTTTATCAGAAAGCAAGCAAAGCATTGGACTGTTATCCCCCACCCCCGCCCCCAATGTTATTTTCTAAGGATATCGGGCCTAGAAGCATATTGAAATACTTGGTGCTTTGCTTGTTGCAATGCTGGCTCTTAATTTTAAGGACCAATGTGCTGCAAATGAAGCAACAAAGGTATCTTTTTTAGATTTTTCAAGATTCTTCTTGTTTGAACATTAAATATAAAATTGGGTAGAGCAGAGAGCTTCACAAGGGCCAAAAAATGGGTCAGCAGGCACATTATTAACCAGGTGCCATGCTGGAGATTCAGCCTATAATTTGTTTAGCATTGCAGAAAGCTAGAATTCTATCAAGGTGGGATTACAAGGGACATGCATTTGTTGACCTTGATTTTTTTTTAAAAAAAATGCACGTCAAGGTTATTTGAGTGTGGGTTATGTTCAGATTCTTTTCACATTCATTGGTTAATGATGATTCAAAAGCCTCGGATTCCAGAAGGAACATTGAATCTACACTACAGAATTTAAGTCTGAATTTAAGTTCTTGTGAGGGATATCAGAAAACGGCTTTTAAATGCAAAATCAATGAAAAGAAATAATGAAAAAGAAAGAAAGAAAATGGGAGAAACTGACTGCTCTGTACTACAGTCAAGATGCCTTTTTTCACTAAGAGGGTTTGATCCTATTTGAAAAACTCACGAGATGTTCTTTTTGCTTTCTGTTCTTCCCACTCTCCACTCCACAGCTATCCACCTAGCCAGAGTGTTTCTGGAGGGCTGAAGAAATCCATCCTCGTCAGCCCCAGCCATCCTCCACCAGCCCCTCCTACTAGCTCACCCCCAGGAACCAGACCTGGCTTTGCTCCACCTCCTGCCCCACCACCTCCACCACCGATGGAGGGAGTTCCTCCACCCCCTCCACTTGCTGACTTTCAAGCTGCTGGCATTCCTCCTCCACCATCTCCCCCCTCCTTCCCACCTCACCCTGATTTTTCTGCCCCTCCACCCCCTCCACCTCCAGCAGCAGAATATGCTGTTGTGCCATCTCCCCTCCTACCACAGCCCACAAGTGGGGTGCCTCCCCCTCCTCCTCCTCCTCCTGGCCCACCTCCTTCATCTTTCGGTGGCATGGGTATTCCAGAGGCTTCTATTCAGCAACCTGATTTGGTGCCTTCCAAGCCAAAATCCTCATTGCCTGCTGTTAGTGAAGCTAGGAGCGACTTGCTTTCTGCTATTCGTCAAGGTAAGCTTCTTCTCATTTTGGATGTCTGAATGTGAACTACCCTAAAAAAGCCAAGCACCCAAAACATACCCCAATTAGGAGTCATTCTGCGGTTGCTGGAATTCTGAACTTAGCAAAATGTATTGGAAATCATTTAACCTCATACAAGGCATTGACTGCCATTGTGCAATTGGATTCCTAACCAACAGTGGCAGCTTAACTTTTCTGTTCCATCCAGCAAGTTCAAACAGCAACATTAACTGCATCCTTTTGACTGTAAATAATTGAAAGTTTTTTTTTAAAAAAATGCCTGACTCCTGTGTTTTGAAGGGAAAATATTCATTGTTGCTTTATATGCTTTACTATGGTCCGAATTCTTCTGCATTTCTTACATGCTTTTTAGTTTCTTCCTGCATCTCATTATTAAAATTATCTTCCTGTAGATCACTTTGTCCCAATGTCTTATACAGTATAACCTTCACGTTTGGCATCTTCCTCACTATAGTTTTGGCTTTTTCAAAGCATGTAACTTGCTGAAGAATTCTATAAATTGTGAACGTTACCTTTTGTGTGGGCTTTTTTCCTGATCATCTTAGTTGCTGCTATTTCCCTTTTCTTGGGGAGGCAAGGTCATGCACAACTACTTCACATAATGCTACTGTCTTGTCTCTACACACAGAGAGAGAGAAGGAGAGAGTGTTCTGACCTAGGCTTCCCCAGCAGGACAAAGCTGAGTCCTCATCTCAATAAACCTCTTCCATTTAATTTACAGTGAATTCCTCTCCAGCAAAGTCTTTCCTCTCCCACAGTCTTTCAAGATAGTTCACAATTTACCTTTATCAGGCTTGGAGAGTGGCCCGGCCGAAATCTTTCAGACACCATAATACTTGGCAAGAATGCAGGAATGAACTAATTGTCTCCTGCAAACACCCCTCCCCCTTTTGCTCCTCTTTTATTCCCCATGGGAGGGGCCATTCACCGTCCACCTGTGGCCTTGCTCCCAAATCGACTCTTGTTCCTTAGCTCTTCCCTTTGTCTGGCAACTCTGTGCATGCGCACACTGGGAACAGGCTCCAGCTGTTTGTCTGCCTCACTGATGTCTGACTCCAAAGGCTGCTGATAACTGTCAGACAGCCTTGGCCCCCTCTCTGCCTCCTACACAGAGCTCTCATCCGAACCTTCCCCACACTCCAGGACTGGCCCATGTTCCTCCCCAACCTCCTCACTGTCCGAATCTGCTGCCAGCTCCAGGGCCACTGGTGAGCCACAGCAGAGAGTACCTATGAAAGGGGGCACCTGCAACTTCTTTCTTTCTTTTTTTCCTTGCCAGGATTCCAGCTCCGTAAAGTTGAAGAAGAACGTGAACAAGAGAAGCGAGACGTTGTGGGCAATGATGTGGCAACCATCCTTTCGCGCCGCATTGCGGTAGAATACAGCGATTCAGAAGACGATTCCTCAGAGTTTGATGAAGACTGGTCTGAATAAGCCCCTGCACATCCCCAAAATGGAGATGGAGGCGGATAAGATGGAGAGAAAATGTCCATCATTTCCCAGAATGCCAAACTTTTTTTTTTTTTGCTTTCCTCTTTTCATCCAATAACCAAAGATAGATCTTCCAGGCTTCCAAATAACTGCTCCCCCCACCCCCCAGTCGATGGGACTTAAACATCCTTCCAAGAAAGAAGGAAAATGAACCCTAGATTTCCAGATTCTCAGGTTACTATGAAAATATATGTATATTGTTAAAGATTTTCTTTGATTTAGGACTAAATTTGCAGCTCCTGGTGCAACCAGGAAATGTTGCTTAAGATGACAGGCAACCAACTTGCAAGTAATATTAATTTCCTTTGCAACAATTATGTAAGGCATTGGAAACACGGTAGTAAGCTGGTGATTCATCTTCTTTGTCTCTCAAATAGGGTGTAATTTAAAATTTCTACTCCCACCAGTCCTAACAATAGTTTCTTTATGCTAAATTTGGAATGTATTAATTTAGGTTGGAGTTTAAAAAACACTCTACTGTGTACACAACAGGATCTTCTAAACAATTTTATCTCCTCCACCCCCCCCAAAAAAAAACCTTTTTAAATCATAGAATGAGCCAGGGAACAGGGATCCTGTCTGCTTGACCCATAGTACCACTTAAGTTTTTATAATGAAGATGGAATTTAGTATATGCAAAATTAGGAAGGATTTCCCTCCGTGTGCCTTGCAGACCAGAGCTTTAAGCACTGGATGTGATCTTGCTTTGCAATCAAAAGATTTGCAGATTCTCAGTTCAGTAGAAGGTCCTACATGAATCAACTTAGCTGTAAGTGCTTGCTCTTTCTTTGAAATCACATTATGCTAAAAGCTGAAATGTGATGAAATTAAGCCAATGACCGTTCTCTAGACACCACATGGGAGTTTTCATGGACCAACTTGGCCATATGTTATATATGCCCAGTCTTCCTTATTATTTTGCTTTAATCCTACAAAAATTACCACAGTGTCATTTCAGCATTGTTGGAACCTGTAGAGCCTCAACTTCAGTTACAAAAGTGGGTTAATTGACAAATTGAGGTTCTGCCCTACCAGCATTAGATACACATACTTCTTTCTAGCAAACTTTTTTTTTTTCAAATAGCATTTTGGGGGATTTTCTTAGTATACAGAATGTCAAAGGGCAGGCCCCTAACTTTATCCAGGCATCCCACTTACTGGAATGATCACTCTAATCAGAGTGATGGTTTGAATAGGGAACTTGCCTACCTATTTATTGGTTTGAAAACCTTTGCCTTGCCATATGCCCTGTTGTTCTTTTCTCACTGGGATGTGCCTTGTAAGAGCTTCTATACCCCAAAGAGTGTCATTTTCTTGCTTTTACCCTTACAGACTCCATGTCCCTGTTTTTAGTTTCGAACTTCTGGTCCCCTAGCTATAAAGCAGAGCTTTTTTTTAGCCAAAGGAAGGACCAAACTTTCAGAAGTAGGCAGAAAGTCTAGAGTATCCTGAAGAAATTTCTTCAGTTTGGTGGTTTCCTTTGTGCCACTGAACAGCTTTGAGCATCTGATCTGAGGGCATGAAGAATAGGCCGATGGGTAGTTTGCTCATGAATTATAAAACCTTTCAAAACACTCTATAAATTTCAAGAATGACCCTAAGGCTCATTAGTAACCCAGAATTAATATTCAAGCACTAAGAGTAGCAGCCAGCTTAGAATGAAATGACAACTTTGCCTGCTTTTTAATGTGCCTGGCGTTTCATACACGGCAAAACCTTTAAATTTGCATGACTGTGCCTCCTAAATCTCTCCTAACAGAAGCCACAGGAATATAAAAAGGCTTTCAGGTGTGCATTCAGAATGAGAACGGTTACCCAGACACGGTGCCAAGAAAACTATATGGCTGTGCCAATGAAATTAGAGAGCCTCTGTATTTAGTACAACTGTTTTTCCTAGCTATCCCCATAAATGTTTGGGATTTTTTGCAGATTGACTGTATCAATTTATAATCAATGTGTTGCATAAGGATAATGGGCATTTTTAGCATAACATTTAAACAGGTTTGACCTAAGGTTGACTTCTAAAAGTTTGAAAGTGGTGCTAATTCTTTCTATGTTCCATGAGAGGTGGGGGTCCTGTACAGAGAGCGCAATTTTTCTTGTCCGCTTTCCACAACCTGAAGCCCCTCATCACTTGTAGCTTTTAAATTGCTTGTCTGTGTTGACTAACAACTGAAAACACAGGTATGTTGTACTCAGACATATCCACACATTCTGAAGCTAGGGTTGAGTTCAGATGCCAGTTAGTAAAAAGCTTGACTCCTCTCTATTTAAATCCCTCTTATTGCTTTTTGGCACTTTTTAAGAAGTGAGACTACCTGCTGGAAAAGAATAAATTGTTACATTGTACATGTTCAATAGAACTGCCCTGAAAAAAACACGCTTGAGAAACAGAAAACCAGTCTAGTACCTCATCTAGCCAGTTGGGCCATAGTTATCATCCAGGCCAGGGGTCTCCAATCTTGGCTACTTTAAGGCTTGTGGACTTCAACTCCCAGAATTCCCCAGCTGAGCTGAATTCTGGGAGTTAAAGTCCGCAAGTCTTAAAGTGGCCACGGTTGGAGACCGCTGAGCCAGGGCATGAAATCCTTAGGTACTGGATGGCGACTGCCTCTCCTACTGCTCCAGTTTTAAACAGATCTTCTCCCTGGATTAAAATGAATGAAATTGTCTCTTTGAGATGCCCATGCTTGGTGTGAAGCATCAAAGTAAATTTGGTTCATTTCCAAAAGATGGCTTTAGTCATCTGATTTATTCTGATTTTAGCGTAGTTAATTGAACTTAATTGAAGATGCTGTGTATAGATCTCATTCTCTGAGTTAGTTAGAATACTTGAGGTTTTCTTGCAGCATCTAAACAGCAGAAATAGCTGATTTTGGTTCAGTGGAAGAATAAGGTGGAGAAGAAATTCCACCAGAACAAGAGCGCTACTGCTTGATTTCTACAGAAAGCCCACCCATTATTTAGTTTTCCTTTTTTCTTTTCCTTTTGCATCACATCTGAGTAAACTAGTTTTTCAAATTGCTTTCTTTAAAAAAAAATGCATATATTTTAAGTTGTAGATTGTGCCACTGGGTCCAAAACCACCTACAATGCTGGGTCCAAAATGTTTTCTACAGTCTTTGAAGATTGACTTCTTTCCTTCTCCACCCTAGTTGACCACATTATGAGGAAGGACCCTTCAAAATCTCAAGAAGTCGCAAAGCTCTGTCAAGCAGGCAGTCGGGCAGAGAGAGAGAGACTTAAAATAGGCCTCTTGGATCACACAGCTGGGCAGAAGGGTGCTGTGTCCTTTTACCAGGCTGCTCATACTACATAGAGACACTGGGGCCTTCTCTGCTTGATTTCCTTTATATGTAATTTTTTTCCCCGGAGTTTTGAAGTGGGGAGGGAGAGAGTGACTTTTTCTTTCCTTATTGCACCTTTTAACATGATTCATTTTAATTGAGTTCAAAAACTAACAATGTTTATGATGTAGAATAAGTTGACTTCTATGTGCCTTATTTCATAAAATATATTTATGTAAGAGTAATTATTTCAAATGTATCCTAGATCATACCTGAACGAAAAATGTGGAATGTTGAAGGAAGTGTTCTTTTAAGTAAGTTCTCTAAATGGTCAGTTTGTAAAAAAAAAAAAAGAGAGAGAGAGAGATCAATAGATATACCTTAATTACCGTATTTTTTGCAGTATAAGATGCTCCAAAGTATAAGACACACCTAGATTTTGTGGAGGAAAACAAGGGGAAAATATCTGCCTCTGCCTCCCAGCAATTTGCCTCCTTGCAACAAACAACACAGAAAATATACACTGCTTGTACTGTTATATTTCAGGCTATATTTGTACAGATGCTGTTAAAATTGATGTGCTTTCTGGAAGTATAGTTATTCTCTGCTATTTAAAAGAATAGCACTTTTTAAAGCAACAGCACTGGGCCTCTTCAGATCAAGCATTTATTTTAAAAAGCTGCTTCATTTTGTTAAGTTGTCTAGAATAATAATAAAGCAGTCTTTAAANTTTTTCTTAGCGCTTTGGACGGCGCGGATTTGCCTCCGCACTTATGTCGGCGCGGATAAGGGCTTCGTGGTTTTGTGGTGGAACCCCCACCAAAGGTGGTCTCTATTTTCCTACTTGCATTTTTACATGCTTTCAAACTGCTAGGTTGGCAGAAGCTGGGACAAGTAATGGGAGCTCACTCCATTACGCGGTGCTAGGGATTTGAACAGGCAAACTGCCGACCTTGTGATCGACAATCTCAGCATCCTAGCCACTGAGCCACCATGTCCCTTTATTTGGGGTTAAAATAAAAGTTTACCTTGGGTTAAATACAACCCAAAAGCCGTCAGAGTGGACACCTCTATTTTAATTACTTTAATTGATCATTTAAAAATATTTACAGCTAGTCCTTGATTTAGGACCCCAATTGAGCCCAAAACCTATGTTGCTAAGTGAGCCAGCTAAGTGAACGTTGCCCCGTTTTGCATCCTTTCCTGCCACAGTTGTTAAGGGAATCACTCCAGCTGTTAAATTAATAACCCAGTTGTTAAGTGGATCTGGCTTTGCCGTTGACTCTGCTTGTAAAAAGATTGCAAAAGGGGATGACCTAACCTCGGACATTGCAACCATCATAAATGCGAGTCAGTTGCCATGCATCTGTGATCATGTGACCCTGTGGATGCTGCAACGGTTGTACATGTGAAAAACAGCCGTAAGTCCCATTTTTCAGTGCCGTTGTCATTTTGAACAGTCAAATAAATGAACTCTTGTAAGTCGAGGTCTACCCTGTAATATGGGGTGGGGCACATCATGGGCGTGCCAGCAACTTAACTGTTCCAGGAGGAAAGGAGCCTTGTGACTGTCCTTTTGTGCCACAGATCTTTGTCCCTGGGTTCTGCTTTCAGCCTCCACAGATCGGTTCAATTTCTCCTTGCGAGGTGATCTTCACAATACCAAGGTCAAGCAGGGACTGTCTGTCCCATCTGATGCCATGCTTTATCTCCCCCATTGCCTTAATTTCCCTTCTGGGATCAGAGGCGAGATGAAATATTGTCAGCTCCAATCAGTGTTAAAGGGATGCTTTTCCACCTTGTGTGTGCTGTGTCATCCTGGTTGTTGGCCAAGCTGTATTATTCAGGCACCTTGAGGGGGGAACAGAATAGGCTGTAAAGAGGAGATGGGGGTTTATGTGGCCAGGGAGGCGTTTGGACAAAACCTCCTTGTTTGCTCCGTTTTCCAAGAGCAAACTCGCCCTGCTCTTCTTAACCCTCCGTAACCCTCACTCCCTGCTGCTTGAAGCTCTTGTTAGGCCTTTTAGGAGAAGCCTGGCTGAGCTTTGTCAAAATGGCTGACATTTTGACGAAGGATTCGGCAGCTGACTCAGGAGAAACACAAACAACTTTGGAGCCAAACTGGGCTTTGTTACTAGCCTGCCTTCCCTCCTTGATCCCTAACCTGTTTGCAAATCAGTTTTGGTAGTTTGGGTTTGGTAAGGTAAAGGTAAAGGTTCCCCTTGCACATACGTGCCAGTTGTTCCTGACTCTAGGGGGTGGTGCTCATGTCTGTTTCAAAGCCGAAGAGTTAGCGCTGTCCGAAGACGTCTCCATGGTCATGTGGCTGGCATGACTCAACACCGAAGGCTCACAGAACGCTGTTACCTTCCCACCAAAGCGATCCCTATTTTTCTACTTGCATTTTAACACGCTTTCCAACTGCTAGGTTGGCTGAAGCCCGGACAAGTAACGGGAGCTCACTCCATTTCACGGCGCTAGGGATTCGAACCGCTGAACTGCTGACCTTTCTGATCGACAAGCTCAGCCTCTTAGCCCCTGAGGCACCCCAGCCCTATTTTGGTTTAGTAGAAAGCTCCAATATGTAATCAAGGCCAACACCTACATGCCAGAACAGAGAGCAAAAAGCTATTTGGTTAGGTTGAGTCGGAAATGCTAAGCTGATGCAGCAGCAGTACAATCGTTCAATAAACCCCAAACATTTTTCTTCTCTGTTTCCAATTCAAACATGCATTTTTCTCTCTGTCTCTCCTCTGTATATGACATACTGGAGACTTGAACCTTTCTCTTAGCTGACTTTCTCCTTGCCATTGTGAACTGTTGTGGCCTGTCGGCCGCTGGCCCCTCCAGCAGTCAAGTCAGATGAGACGGTGTGGGAGTCCGGGTCAGCATCAAGTCAAGCTGAGAGCTCCAAGGGGGAAGAGGGAATGGAGCTGTCAGAGAGAGAGAGAGAGACAGAGACAGAGAGAGANTTGTACAGATGCTGTTAAAATTGATGTGCTTTCTGGAAGTATAGTTATTCTCTGCTATTTAAAAGAATAGCACTTTTTAAAGCAACAGCACTGGGCCTCTTCAGATCAAGCATTTATTTTAAAAAGCTGCTTCATTTTGTTAAGTTGTCTAGAATAATAATAAAGCAGTCTTTAAAAAATAAGTCTAATGATTTGAACATTCTGTAGGCATTTATAGTTGTCAACTTACCTCCTTGTAGCAAACAGCCTGATTAGCACAAGAAAAAAAAATCTGCCTCCCAGCAATTTGCCATGTAGAGCAAACAGCCAATTTCACTTTCAATTTCTCCCAATCATCAGCTGTTACAGGCTGCAGGGATTGCTATAGCTTATTGAAGCCTCCGCAAGCCCCCATTTGCTGCAAAGAGGTAAATTGCTGGGAGGCAGAGGCCAAAGGGTTGGGGACGGTGGGTGGGGCTATCTTCAGTGTATAAGACACACACAAATTTTCACCCTCTTTTTTGGGGGGGGGAAGGTGCGTCTTATACTCCGAAAAATACGGTAACTGCCGGAGGAAATGGTTAGGAACTCAGTTGTTGGTTTTATCAGTAGAGACCAAGAGCATTACACATTCCAAAATATCAGGTAACAGCCAAGCCGTATGATTTTTCTAGGTGTTTGTCAGTGTATCCATACACACTTGGTGAAAATGAGCGACCATTCCATGGTACGCTGAAAGTTTGTTTTACCAATAACTCCGGCGTTGTGTGAACTGGCTTTTGGAATGAATTCAAAAGTCCTTAAACCTAAAGCAAAAAGTGCTGTAGTGACGTCAGCCATGTCCATGCTAAGAGGCCAGTGATCATCAGGGTGTTTCTGTACAGCCTGATGATCAGTATCAAATTCTGTCTGGCAGGTCTTGGGTGAAGAGGGAGAAGCACAATGGAGATTGGAATTGTTGCTTCTCTTCCGCATCCACATGCAGGGTTTGGCTCTCCATATTCGTTTTACTCTTCCTAATTGCTTTTTTTTAATCCAAATCTTTTTAAAACAACTTTTATAACCTCTCCAGTTTTGTCTACCTTTCCTTGAGGGGCTTCTTGTAAAGTATATGTGATTAAAACAAAACTTTTTATCATATAAACCTTAAAGAAATGAGAAATCTTTTCTAGCCATTTTGTTATGCTTAGGGTTCAATGAATCGGTCACTTTCTCTAACGCTTGGTTATAATCTTTACTGCCATTCACACAAGATCATCTTTTCTTGCCTATCTTTCCTGGTGTGTGTACAACTTACAAGTCTGAATGCATATGTGCTTTTTGTACCCCCCTCTGCCTCACCCGATTCATTGTTAACACAGGTGAGAATTTCACTGGAAAAATTCAGTGCAGCCCGAGGACTGCAGGATAACAGTTCCAGTTTCTAGGAGTGAGAAAATGTCCTTTTCCTTAGTATCGCCTTGCAAAACTTGGTCCTGCTGCTATTCCTAATTTTCACCTTCTTTTAAAGTCACTTTTTACCTGCTGCCCTAAAGATCAGAAGTTACAATAATGGTACAGAGGAATATTTGTGGTATTTGGCAGCTGTTTTGATATCCTTACATTCCACTTTGGATGTGCATAGCTTAATGGTTCTGCATACCTCAGTCCACAAACCTGGTTTAAAGAAAACATTTGGAAACATGGATAAGCTTTCCGGATAGTCGATTTGTATGGCAGAGATCCTTGATTTTAGAAAATCATAAAAACAGATGGAAGTGTGCAGAATAAAGAGGGATCTGGGCCTTTAGTGTGGTTAAAAATAGTATTTTCCTTGAGAGAATATAATGCTAAATATTCATTTTGTTCTAAATATATTGAAAAGAATTACCCAATAGCTTCCAGTTTTTCCCTCCTGACTCACAGTTCATCACTTTTTTATAACTTACTGCAAAAAAATTTGGGGACTCTTACTATATGTGAATTTGATGGAAATTATATGTTCACATATTCTTGCACATTGTCACTGGGATAAATATAGAGCTTCATTGATTTCTTTTTCCTGCCAGAAGAAAAAAAATACATTTTTAGGTGAGTGAAGTTCATCAGCTCTAATAAATGCAGCTTAAGATGTGGAAACCCTAGAAGACTTGATGCCACAAATAGAAGTTGAGCATATCCTAGAGATTATAACTTCAAGTACAAAGGTTTTCTGCCTCAGCCACACAAGTACCTCTCATTTAATAACCATAATTGAATCTGGCAATGAAGGTGTTAAGTTATGACAGTTGTAATCAGTTGGATTTTGTGACCCTTTCTGGTGGTTAAGTAAACTGGCTAAGCGAGTGTTGCAATTCAGTGAATGCCATAATAATCTTGTTATTCGCTATGGGCTGGTTTCTGGCAAAATGTAAGTCACAATCACATGATGCTGCAA